TAACGTGCTTTTCTGATTTTTCTTTCTTCTTCCCCTTTTTGAGAGACAGGGTATCTCTCTCGCACAGGCTGGAGTACAGTGGTGTGATCATAGCTCTTTGCAGCCTTGAACTCTTGGGCTCATACAATCCTCTCACCCCAGCTTCCGGAGTAGCTAGACTATAGATGCATGCCACCACACCTGGCTAATTTTTGTATACTTTTGTAGAGACAGGGTCTTGCTATGCTGAACAGAGTCATCTTGAGCTCCTGGGATCAAGTGATCCTCCTATCTTAGCCTCCCAAAATGGTAGGATTACAGGTGTGAGCCACTTTGCCAGGCCTAAAATGTACTTTTCAATGAATACAGAGGCATTCCATTTGTGTTTTTTTTTTGTTTTTTCTTTTTTTTTTCTTTTTTTTTGAGATAGACTCTCACTCTAACACCCAGGCTGGAGTGCAGTGGCACAATCCTGGGTTACTGCAGCCTCTGCCTCCTGGGTTCAAGCAATTCTCCTGCCTCAGTCTCCTGAATAGCTGGGACTACGGGTGCCTGCTACCACACCTGGCTAATTTTTGTATTTTTGATAGAGAGGGGTTTCACCATGTTGGCCAGGCTTTTAGAATTCCTGACCTCAAATGATCCACCCATCTCGGCCTCCCAAAGTGTTCAGATTATAGGCATGAGCCACCGAGGCCGGTCTCATCTTTTTTTTTTTTTTTTTAAGCCAGCATTCATCCAGAAAAATGAATCTGCATCCTAGCGTAAACTATAGAAATATAAATTTAGCAGTGATACTTCCTCAAACTTGTTTCTTTTTTCTTCCTCTTATCTCTACTCTGATTTCCTTCTACTGTGTTTTTTGCATGTTCTTAAATATTTATGAATCTCATTGTTTCTCTCTCAGCTGTATGTTTTAAAGCTTCATCTAGTTTTAAAGATCTTACCATTGTTACTACCATCCCATTTCTTTTATTTGCTCTATATACCAGTGATGGATATTATCTCCAAATTCCCACTACCATAAACCATGCAGCTACAAAGATTATATCCTCAAAGATTTGTATAAAGATTCCTCTGAGTGCTGGGTCAGATGGATTAAACGCTTCTGATTTAATTAACTACTTACTGATTTATAGCATGATAGTATTAGTTTATACTTGCATCGTTTTAAGTACACGTCTACACAATACTTGACATCAGCAAACTTTTAAATATTTGTCATTTTGATGGGTGAAAAACTATATTCATTTACTTTCATCTTTTCGGATTATTAGTGAGTTTGTCTATCTTCTCATCTGTCAGGACTCGGCTACCCTTTATTTAAATTGTATGTTCATATCTTTTATCTATTTTTTTAAAAGCGATTTTTCTTTGTTTCTGTTAAGTTATAGGGGTTCTTGATATATCATTATAGGTATTATTCCCTTTAGGTTTTAAAAGTTCCAAAGCTGACATCTGACTTTTAACTCTGTGTATAGTTCTTTCAACAAAAATCCTTAATTCTGATATAATCAGATCCATTAAATTTTCACATTATGTTCTATGATCCCTATGATGTAGCTATTCTCCAAAATTTCTATGATTCACTTCATTCATTCATCTATTCATTCAAAGATGGAGTCTCACTCTGTTATGCTGGCTAGAGTGCAGTGGCACCATCTTGGCTCACTGAAACCTCCGCCCTCCCAGTTTCAAGCGATTTTCCTGCCTCAGCCTCTTGAGTAGCTGGGACTACAGACCCCCACCACCATACCCAGCTAATTTTTGTATTTTACTAAAGGCAGGGTTTCACCATGTTGACCAGGCTGGTCTCAAACACCTGACTTCAAATGATCCACCTGCCTTGGCCTCCCCAAGTGCTGGGATTCCAGGTGTGAGCCACCATGCCCAGCCTCATCACTTTCAAGTGTTATATTTCTTATTCAGGTCTCTAATCCTTCTAGAGTTAGCCTTTGCATAAAAAGCAGAAGGTAGAAATCTAGCTTTCTTTTTCTCAAAATAGCCAGTACTCCCACTAAAACTAAGTAATCATCTGTTTTCAGCAACTTCACTACCTACTTGTGCCACACCATATATCAAGTTGTCAAATATACATGAATCTTTTTGAGAGTACTAGTTTATACCAGTATTTGCCTTTCTTTTGCTAGCATTATATTGTTTTTATTAGTATAATTTTACAGTAACTCTCAATTACCTTATAGATCTAGTGTTCCCTCCTTTCTCTTTTTTGTCAACACTGACTCAGCTAATTCTGGACCTGTACTGGTCAATGCTAACTTTAAAACGAGTTTGTCAAGTTTCTTGACAAAAGAATTTTGAGTGGCACTGATGTGCTCAAGAGAAAACAGGCATTACTAGGTACTGTAAGCCATACAGTACATGACAATCTTTTATTTTCTAATAAACTTAAATTTTTTTTCTCATGAAGATTTTATGCATTTTAAATTAGGTTAATTTTTGTTAGACTATTTTCTAAGTGGGTTTCTCACAATAAACGGCAGGGGTTAGAAATCTGTGGCTCACAGGCCAAATCCAAGCTTGCTATCTACTTACAAATAAAGTTTTACAGGAACACAGGCATTGGCATGTGTTGTCATGATGTCTAAGGCTGCTTTCATACTACATCAGCAGTTATAGTTATGACAGAGGCCATATGGCCCACAAAGCTGAAAACATTTATCTGGTCTTTTATAAAAAAGATTGTTGATCTCTCGGTATAGAAAAAACAACTGCTTTTTATAAATTAATCTTATATTAGACAATCTTGCTGAATATTCTCAGTTCTAGTAGTTTTCTGACAGTTTTGGATTTTATACAAATGGCTATATCATACACAAACAGTGAATTTTGTTTCTTCTTCCTAATCTCCTACTCTTAAATTGAGCTCAAAATTTCTCAATGAAATATAACTTTTGCTATAAACTTGGCATAAGTTAGAATTTCCCTTTATTCTTAGTTTTCTGAGAATCTTTTCATACACAGGTGCAAATCTTTTTTCGTATTCTAGTAAATTGTTATTTGGCAATTTATGACATACTGGTGTATAGTATTTCTTATATTTTATAGTGAATGGATACTTAACTTTTCTATGCTTTAATATATGGCATCCTTATTAAACTAGTAGATCCAGTGAAAAATGAGACTATTAATTGTACTTTTGTACATCTCTAGCATAGCAATTGCATTCACCAATATTTATTGCATTTGTATGATGTGATGGGTATTATATAGGAAATTGTGTCTTCTTTTACACAAAGCAAGTACTACAGTTGTTGAAATAAATAAAAATAATATTGTGCTATATTAGATAATAAAAGAAAATATAAAATTAGTCTTATCTTTCTGGTGAAAATCAGTCATTTTTAAGTAAAAAAAGATCTCTCAATCTTTAGAACTCATATTTTTTTACATTAATCCATAAACAATTTTATAATTTCAAAAATTATTTAAAGACATAGCAAGTACACAGCAACCTGAACATGTTAGGAAACAACAGTGGTTCTGCTTTAAAGACTAAAAGTAAATATTCACACAAAAAATTCCTAACTTCCAAACCTTCACCAGTTATAAAATCTATATAATTCAACCCACATGCTTTTAATATCAATATCTTAATAAAAGTACTACTTTTATACTAAGTTCTACCCTTGTACTACATTCAACAAAGTATGGTAAGTATAAAAATAACCTTCATGTAATTAATATATTTATGTACCTTCTCATATNAAAAAAAAAAAAAAAAAAAAAAAAAAAAAAAAAAAAAACCAAAAACTTCACATAAGATAAAAAGGATAGAAAACCACTTATAAAAGGGAGAATGTAGTTTTATGTTATTTATTTATGTTTTCTGAGACAGTTTCACTCTTGCCTAGGCTGGAAATACAGTGGCATAATCTCGGCTAACTGCAACCTCCTGGGTTCAAGTGATTCTTGTGCCTCAGCCTCCCAACTAGCTGGGATTACAGACATGTATCACCGTTCCTGGCTAATTTTTGGATTTTTAGTAGAGATGGGGTTTCACCATGTTGGCCAGGCTGGTCTCAAACTCCTGACCTTGTGATTCACCTGCCTTGGCCTCCTAAAGTGCTGGGATTACAAGCATGTGCTACCACGCCTGGAGTGCATTGTAGTTTTAAACAAAATAAAGTAGATTTTTTTTTTATTTGCTTGGTTGAAACTTACTAAGCTGTTATTAATGGATTCTAAAAATCATTATTTTAAGAATCTCAAAATACAGGTTCACAATCCCTTATCAGAGCATCTGAAATTCCAAAGCTCTGAAAACCTAAAAAATTTTTTCACAGTTCATTTGGTGGTAACTTGACTTAAACTGATAAAATGCTATTTTAGTCTTTATTTATCCCACTTAGTATGAGTATTTGCTAAAGAAATATTAATGTGTTTGATTATAAAGTGTTCTCTTGCAGAAACAAAAACATTACAGTAACAGGTGGGACATGTACCATATTACTTCTTAAAGCTTTGAGAAGTCTGAATATTTAAACACAACTGGTCTTAAATGTTTTGATAATGGAGTGTGGATCTATTAATTCTAAAACAGCTAAAAAGATTCCTAACTCTTCTTTCATTTACCCTCAAAAATACCTCATATACTCCTCTATTTCTGTTTCTTTATTTAAAACTTTCATTTAAATAAATACTACTTTCACATCAGATTCATTTTGATAAAGAAATATTTTAAGATACTTTTAAAAGGCACAAAAATGCTTCAAAAATTAATATTTAATGATTTGACTGTATTAGACAATGCAACTTTCTCACTTATACCATATGTTTACACTATACCTTAAGATATTTGAATTGGAAGGTTTTATAATAGTAACATTAATTAATAGCAAATTTAGATAGCTTGTATACTAAGAATAAAATACTCAAATATAAAGAAGGCATGAATGTTTGCAATATACAACTAGGTTCTTCCATCACTGTGGATTTGATTATCTAACATCAAAGGCTTCAAAATCATAAAATAAGCCATAAGAAGTGGGAGCACTTACTTAGGAGTAGAAGGACCCCTTGGCCATGTTCCATCTTCATTTTTCTGTTCTATCACTAATACCTGCAAACATGACACAATAAAAGGATGTTTTTCCATAACTCTGAAGTTAAAATAACTTTAGAAGCTTAGCTGAATACACTAAGAAACTAAAGTAACTCTGTGATTATTTAAAGGAAACAGCAGACAAGGTGAACGGGTAATCTGTATTACCATTTCAAAGCTAGGCACTGGAGACTAAAATACCTCAAATAAGAAATCAGTAATGATCGTGAGAAGGAATCCTACAAGATAAACTGTAAAGAAAACCACTGGTTCCATGATTTTAAGTTTAAGAAAACTTAAACCAAGTACACAGAACATAAATTCCCCTGTATTTAGAGAATATATTTTCTATTTGTATTTGTAGCTTATAACAGAGAACTGCATAAAGAACAATAAATATTTGCAGTTGTTAAACATACTGACATAGAATCTTGGCTAACTTATTTTTATGCAAATGCAGACAAAAGGTGACACAGACAATTCTAAATTACAGATTATGTAGAATTCATTTGGGGTTTTGAAATTAGTGTGTATTTATATTACCACAATGGAAATTATAGAATCTTTAAATATACAAATGACAGAGTCCCATTTATGAGAATAAGACTGAAGTTCTGTTACAGCATGGTTGAAGTTGACAGAAATCACCTCTAATAAACAAAAAGTATAGGCTTAGGCAGAGCTATATTTTATTTTAAAACACCCTAAAATCTTTCCTCATATCTTTCAGTCTAACAAAGAAGTCTTTCTTTTAGTTTTTGATATGGATTAGTCTGTTGTAAAATTTAGCAAAATAATGAAGAAAAACTTAGCAAAAATAATTAAATTTGCAAAGGAACTATGTGATAATACCAATAAAAAGTTAATATCTATAATTTCCATGCGAAAACTGTAATACAGACAAAATGACTTGAAGTAAATCCAAGGCATTACAAATTTGAATACATTTCATTTACTGTTTCATTAACTTTTTAAGTTGCAAACTCTACATGGACATAGTAATATATTTTTGTGAACTGTATATTTCCAGGCCATTTATACATTGGCATTTAGATCCTAACCATGTAAAAATGTAAGCATGTTTCAGAGTGCATGTAACAAACAATAAAATGTTGATTTTAAAAAAATTCATGAAACCTTAAGAGGGTGCTAATTAAAATATTAAAGTTTGCTTTAAAAATCTATTATTTCACACATTAAAAACTGTATTTGTACCATATAAAGAATAGAGCACCATGTACCTACTATACTGATCCCTTCTTGATCACATTCCTCTCCCTACCTACTATAAATGCGTCATCATTATCTCAATTTTCTGATTTTCATTCCTATATATATATATATATATTTTTTAAAGATTTACAAAGTAGAATTTAGTGAGTGACTTTTAACTTCTCAAGAATGCTTTCCTTTACTGCAATTTATAACTGTAGCAACAGTTACAGATAAACTATATGCATAAATATACATATAATCTTTATAAATCATTTGGAGGACTTAAATCAGTTATACAACAAGATTTTAGCTACAGAAGATTTCTAACTTATGCATTCAATAGAATTATTTAACCATAATGTCTTAATTTCTAACAGTATTTATACTTAACATTCCATATTGTTAAAACCACAAATACTAATGCTGAAGGCCATCAGAAATATTAAAATTGAGTCCTTTATTCAAATGCATCATTTTCTGAATAAAATTTTGTTACAGTTAAAACTTTAACTCAAAATAAAAATATTTTTGGAAAGATTCTACATTAAAATTAAACTCATACAAAAAAGGAGAGAAGAAATGCCTCCCAAATGGGAGGCAAACTCTTCAATAGTATGTCTTTGTTTCATTTTCTAATGAGGATACTTTGAATTTAAGTATTAAAAAAAAAAAAAGGTCGAGGAGAGTGTTTGGTTATTTACTATCTTTTAGTTCATTTATCTTCTCTGGCTGAAGAATTATTATAAAGTCTGAAAAATTTAATAAGTATTCTTTGAAACATTCCTGTTTTTAAAGGTCAGTTCCTTAAAAGAATATTTAATCTCATTAAATTATTCTCTCGTCTGCCATCTGATAAATGCATACCTATCAAGAAGATGAAATTATTTGACTTCTCTAAGTCTCTGTTTTCTAATGTACATGGTGAAAAGAGTAACACTAATTTCATAGGATTGCTGAAAAGTTTTAAAGAAAGAATTCTACAGATTTCAAATTGTACTTCTGGAGCTACCTCAAGGCCTAATGAATGAAAACAAAGCAGAGAGGTTATGTCTACGGGAAGACAGAAAGAGAGAGCTGGCTAACTAAAAGGGCAGTGTTGGCTAATCAGTGGATTTCCAAGGTCCATACTTTAAGCTTCAATCAGTTTCATTTCCTTTTTAACTGTGATACATACTGCATTTTGTAAGATTTCTCTTAAGAATATAATGACTAAAATAAATATGAAAATCACTGTATTTTGATAGCCTAGTATAATCCTTGACATATAGCAGGCATTTACTAAAAATTAATTTCCCTCAGTTTCTCTGAATTTTTCCACAACTCAGAATCATATTATTGATATTAACAGTAATTTTTAAATAAAACAACAACAACAAAAATCTTCTATATATCAGAATACCAGGTACCGTTAGTTTCTGAAAATACAAACAGGGTACAAAGTCTAAACAAAACAAGGGCCTCATAGTCTAGGGAGATTAATATACAAATAACTAAAGCATATAATGAGTGATGTAAAACATATATGCATAAATCATTGTGGAAGTTAAGGAAGCATCCTTTTTTTCTCCAAAGTAGAAACATCTTATTCTTCAATGGATATTGAGAGAAACAGGGAAGGCTGGATAGATGACGGGACATTTGAGCTAGAATCTGAAAGATGAAAAGGATATGGCTAGCCTACATGATGGTATAGGACGGTTAATTTGAGTATGTGGATGGTTAAAAGGACTTTTTGATGGATGAATACAGGGATTGCAAGGACATGTACATCAGGCAGATGGAATAACACATTGGAAAGCACAGGAGTACCGGATAGCATAGTGTGTTCAGGGAACGATAAGCAGCTCAGTTTGGTGCCGCTTGAGTACAAACCACACAACCAAGATAATCTGATGATGGTGGAAGAGTAGAGAAGAGGTTAAACCATAACCTGCATGCTGGCTTAAAGTGCCTGGACTTGATAATTATTAAGGAACCAAGAAAAGTTTATAAAAGGAAGACAGTGAAGTTTACATTTTAGAATGAGTATTCTGGCAAGAACAAGAGTGTCCTACTGCTATCTGCTAATAATGAAAAAACGAAGGAAAAAAGAGCAGACGTACAAGAGCCTGGAGACAGAGGGATCTATGAAGAGACTATGAAAATTAAGGGCTGAGAATGGAACAGAGAGATTATTTCAAAAGATAGTCAGAAGGTAGAATCAGTAGGACTTGCTGACTGTGACTAAACTTCTTCCTTTCTCAAAACTTTTATTTATTTGGATTATACTATTAAAACAAATACTGGCCGGGTGCAGTGGTGTATGTCTGTAATCCCAGCACTCTGGGAGGCCAAGGCGGGCAGATCATGAGGTCAAGAGATTGAGACCATCCTGGCCGATATGGTCAAACTCCATCTCTACTAAAAATACAAAAATTAGCTGGGCATGGTGACATGAGGCTGTAGTCCCAGCTATTTGGGAGGCCGAGGCAGGAGAATCGCTTGAACCTGGGAGGTGGAGGTTGCAGTGAGCCAAGATCTTACCATTGTACTTTGGCCTGGGCCACAGAGTGAGATTCCATCTCAAAAAACCAAACCAAACCAAACCAAACTGGGAGCTGACACCTTTCAACAAGGGCTGACAAAACTACATTTCACTTAGCCTGCTGCACATTTATATAAATAGTTTCATTAAAACATAGCCATACTCATTTATTAATGTAGCATCTATGCTTGTTTTTGTGTACTACAATGGCACCATTTTAGATGCTACTTTATGGCCTACAGAGAACTGTAACTTGTAACAGAGAACTGTATAAATAACAGATGCTCCATAAAGGTTTACTATTTGGTCTTTTACAGAAAGTTTGCTGACCCACCTTATAATATTAGCTGGGATTTTTTTTTTCTAATTAAAAATGATTTATTTTTAACAAGTAGATTATTCCTAAGCTCAAGTAGGGAATTAGAAGTCACAGTCAGTAACTAGCAGTGATAGGTAAGAGATGAATTTAGAAAGAGGAAGCAGGAACAGTAGAGCCCATTATATATTGCCAGGATATTAATTAAAGTTCATCAATCCAAAAAACCTTCATGTATTAGTAGGCTTAAAATAAACAATACCTGTCCTTGGTATAAACCAGCATCCTGAATGGTGCTGTCTGGTTTATTCAGTGGTTCAAATGTATTACTCATGTATTTGTTCCACAATCTGGTCTCCTTTTCATCTGGAATATTGAAGATTTTTCTTATTTCCTTTTCAATTGTATCTAGATTTAAGGAGAAAAAATATATGAATATAATATATATTTCAAAATATACCACACACAGCTAAATGTTATCAGAAAAAAATTCTAAATTTAAAATACAAATAGAATATCAAGACTAAATATGTAATAAATCTATAAAACACAAACCAACAAAAGGGTTTTTAAGACCGAGTGTGTTTTTATGGAAAAAATGCTATTTGTACTACAACAAATTACTTGGGGAATTAAAAACCTCAAAAGGTAAGAGTTCAATCACCAAAAATGAAATATAATTTGTGCTACACAGGATAAACTTTAACTTTTAACATATAATTCAAATATTTTTTCTGAGATGTAGAAATTAGGAATTAAAGTATGGTTAAGAGATGTTACAGATGGGAAAATTTCAAGGTACTAAATAAACAATTTAAAAATAGTTTAAACTGAACAGTTAATTAGAATATATGGACACAATAAAAAAGAAAGTGCCTGTTTGAAGGGATGTCTGTATTCACCAAAATTTAGTATTTTCAAGGTAAATCCAAGTCTTTTCCTGATTTCTAAATCAATTTACTGAAATTGTATTTATTTACTTAACATTAGCAGCTTAACCTGTATAAAATAAGATACACAATGTCTACATATTTGAGAGTACAGACATAATTGAGTTCCAGTACCTATAGTTAAATACATCTTTAAAATTTTTAAATATCAGAAAAATATTACGTAATACTATCATATCCATCTAGTTCTGGTCAATAACTTGCCTAACCAATTCAAGAAAACAGTAATTAAAATATTTTATGATATATAAATACAGAATACTTTTAGACCAATAACATTGTCTATCTAGCAGCTAATGTTTTCTAATAGTCTTGTACTCAGTGAGGTTTTGATAAGGGCATTAAATCAGCAAAAAAAGGGCACTAATTCAAAATATCAACAGCATTATCTCAAAACTTAAAGCAAATCACCCAGAATATTTAAATAATTACATAAAATAAATATACTGTTAGTACTTGAATTAGTCTGTTCTCATACTGCTACAAAGAACTACAGGAGATTGGGTAATTTATGAAGAAAAAAGGTTTAACTGACTTACAGTTCCATGGGTTGTACAGGAAGCATGGCTAGGAGGCCTCAGGAAACTTACAATCACGATGGAAGGTGAAAGGGAAGCAAGCACATCTTATCATGGCAGAACAAAAGACAGTGCGAAGCGGAAAATGCTACACACTTTTAAACAACCATATCTCATGAGAACTCATTCACTATCGCATGAACAGCAAGGGGGAAATCCGCCTCCATGATCCAAACACCTCCCGGCAGGCTCCTCCTCCAACACATGGGGGACATGAGATTTGGATGGGGACACAGAGTCAAACCATACCAGTACTGCTTTCTATTTTGGTAGGGTTGTATTTTTTTGTGTTGTTCTTTTTATTAAAGTAAACATATATACAGAACTATTCACTAATCATCAGTATCTTGTGATAAATTTCCAAAGTGGACATACCCATGTAAATCACACAGAGATCAAGAAACAAAACATTACCTAGGAAGGAGGGTAAAGGAAGAAGCCAAGGAAGGGACTTGTTTTAGTCTCTCTATAAAAACGAATAAATTTTTCCTAAGGGCAGAAATAATTTTTTCTCTTGGCAAAAATACCAAAAATACTGACAAAAAGAAATAAATTGTTTACTTAGATATAACCACTGCTGATACTTTGATAATTCTTCTTCTGGATATTTTTTCTATTAATACAAACACCTGTGGTACATAATATATTATAAGCAAATGTGGAAATTTCCTCTTTATTGAGTTTTGAGATCTAATTTACATATGGGGAAACATTACTTGCATAGAGATAGTAACGTAAAAGCCTTTAAGTGCGTATGTGCTTGGCATGTTTTAGAACAGCATAGTACATCAATGTGGCTGAAGTAGAATAAGTAAGGTAGAAATGAGACTATAAAGGTACTTCTGTGGATTATATATACTTCTGTGAGCTACTAAAGTAGTTATATTTTAATCTGAGCAAGAAAGGAAGCCACTGAGGAGTTGGGAAGGGAAGTGGTATGATATGACTGACATTTTAAATGTTCATTTTGCTGCTGGTGAAGAACACTGCAGAAGGTCTGTTAAGGTTTGGCTCTGGGTCCCCACCCAAATCTCATGTTGAATTGTCATCCCCAGTGTTGGGGAAGGGACCTGGTGGGAGGTAAGTGGATCATGGGGGCAGATTTCCCCTTTGCTGTTCCTGTGATAGTGAGTGAGTTCACATGTGATCTGGTTGCTTGAAAGTGTGTAGCACTTGCCCCTTTGTCCTCTCTCTTGCCACGCCATGGCAAGATGTGCCTGCTTCCCTTTGCCTTCCACTATGACTGTTATGTTTCCTAGGCCTCCTAGCTATGTTTCCTGTAGAGCCTGTGGAACTGTTAAGTCAATTAAACCTCTTTTCTTCATAAATTACTCGGTCTCTGGTAGTTCTTTATAGCAGTGTGAGAATGGACTAACACGAAGTTGAAGGTGGGAAACTAGGCTATTGCAGCAATCCAAGCAGTGACAAGTGGTCTGACCAAGAATAAATTCTGAAAGAACTGCTAAGAATGCTGCTAGATTACATGAAGGGTAAGCAATAAAGCAATCAGAAATGATTTTTTGCCTAAGCAATTGGAAGACCAAAAGTGGCCATTATGGAGATAAAGAAGAATGACAGAGCCTTAGACTTTTTGGGAAAGGGAGCTTAGTTTTATACATGATAATCTTCTTGAGAAGCCTGTAAGATATACAAATGAAGATATGTGATAGTTGAAACTGAAATTATGGGAGACTTCAGTGCAGGACTGATAAACTTAAAAGATTTTCAACATGAGGAAAATATTTAAAGCCAGGAAAACAAATCACCAAGGAAAGGCAGATTGGGAGAATATGGAGACACTGACATTTTGAGATAAAGAATACACAGAGGGTTTTACAAAGGCTCCAACAAGATGCAGCCAATGAGAAACTGTGCCCTGGAAGCCATGTGAGGAGAAAGTGCGTCTAGATGGAAAACTAGTTGATCTGTGTTGAACTTTGCTAGCAGGTTAGGAAAATGGGAGATTTCTGTATTACCACTGGATTTGGCAATGGGGGAGGTCATGAGAGACTATCACAGAAGCAGTACCAATGGAGAGGTGGGTTTCACTGTCTAACATAGCAGGCTCAAGAGAAAATCGGAGCAGAGAAAATGGTGGTCAGAACAAAGGATGCTAAATTTGAGATCTGGCAAGTGCAGTTACAGATAATGACAATCTAGGGTTAAACTATGAAAATTGGTGATTCAGCTTGGGTACAGGTTAAGATCACTGAAGCTGAGAATGGTCAAAGGACTGACAGCATGTACTTATTTTTCCACATATTAATTCAGTTGTATTAGTTGATGAAAAGCATACAGAGGTGGAAAAATAATACAGGTTGCTCACAAAAATTAGAATAAAAAATATTAATACAGGTCACAGAAATTAAATGGTTGTATTTTTCAGTAAGTTCTATGCTTTTAGTAGTTAACGTTAACAGAAAATAAAACCATTATTTCATCTAAATCGAACATACTCAATGCTCAAATATATCAATTTTGGCAGAAAAATATTTGAAGGCAGAAAATTTTGGCCCTGATAAGTAAATCATTTAGATATGGCCTATGGCCTGCTATCATTTTTATTATCAATGTAGGCAGTACTAGCTGAAAACAGAATATTTTATTAATTTGGTAACAAGAGAAAATAGGCACTAATATTTCCTAATTCTGTTTATAAAATTTATATTGCTGTATTTCAAATACATAGCTATTTTAATCAATCAAGATTACTTAAAAGACCATAAGGGAAAAATATATATCCATCTTAAGTTTCTCGTGTAAATTTTTTGTTTAAAAACCTACTTTCTTTAGAAAAACAAAATCAGCCCAATTAATATCTCCAAAATGAATATTCCTTTATCATACATAGATTGTGTAAGGCAGCAACTGAGAGATGAGACTACGGTTTAAAAGCTCTGCTTGTGAAGTTAAAGTACTAGCTCTACCACTTGGTACCAGGGTGAACTGAGGTAGATTCTAAATCTCAGCTTCATTATCTATAAGATGAAGATACTTAGTTGTTTAATTTCAAACAAGAAAATTCCTGTCAAGTGTTTAAAACATAGTAAATGTTCAGTAACTGTTAACCTTGACTGTGTGATAACCATAATTATGAAGTGTCTAAAATTCCTGACTTGACTAATTATAATTTTTGCAAACCTTTTTTGCTTAAAAAGAATACTCATTCTAATACAGACTTTCAAACTTTTTAAACTAAGAGCTACAGTAAGAAATTGTGACCTGGGACTTATACGTATATGTTGATATTTTGTATTCTAATATTTCCCATTCAATTATCTTTACCCTTAAAACTGTTTAATGAACCACCAAAATAGCAACAATCCAGTCGAAAAACAATGATCTAAGTAAGAAATTATAGGTATGCAAAAATTGGGTTCATATATAATGTTAAAGTATATATTCAATTTATGTAGCATTTTAAAGTATTAGTATATTAAGCTATGTTGATTAAAATCTGTGCTAGATCATTAACTTTTTGAAGCAGTGATCCTTTATAAATTATATCTCTGTGACAAATTCTGACACAGTTCTTCTATCATGAGAACTCATAATGCTTGTTTTGAATTCAGAAATTAAACCAGCTGCTGATTTTCCTGAGTTTCAAAATGTTTAGTATAGTAAAGTTCTAAAATTAGATCTCTGATGGTCTCATATTTATATTTAATTTTCCTATTAAAACGAGGTAGGGAGAAAAGAAAATACCAAACTTTAAAAATAACTAGAAAATATTATTTTAAGAGATAGCTTCTCATTTATAATCCAACTGGCTATAAATTTCAGAGGCAACTCTCTGAATTAATTTTAACAGACTATCCTTGTTAGATTTATAGACACTTCTCATGTACATACTCATATGATTAAAATAATTTTCATATGCTGAAAACTTTGTTTTTAATATGTAGAAATATCTTATTTTTCTGAATATATGCCACAAATCTGGAAATTCAAGTCAAGCAATTTAACTGTAATAATTATAATAACCTTTATATATGAAAATCCTTATATTTTAAGCATTCATTTTAGAAATATGACTCTATGAGCTTTTTTTTTATTTTCTGAAATGAAGTCTAGCTCTGTTGCCCAGGCTGGAGTACAGTGGCATGGTATGGGCCCACTGTAACCTCTACCACCCAGGTTCAAGCAATTTTTCTGCCTCAGCCTCTCTAGTAGCTGGGACTACAGGTGCATGCCCATCACGCCTGGCTAATTTCTGTACTTTAGAGATGGGGCTTTGCCATGTTGGCCAGGCTGGTATCGAACTGTTGACTTCAGGTGATCCACCCACCTCGGCCTCCTAAAGTGCTGGGATTACAGGTGTGAGCCACTATAAGCTTATTGAAACTTAATCTCGAACTTATAAATGTTCTAGCTATAAGCTTATTGAAACTTAATCTCTACCAGCCAACTATAAGCTTACTGAAACTTAATCTTAAACTTATAAATGTTCTAGCTAAATAAAAGAGAGGAGAATGAAGATTCATAACATCATGCTGTATTTTATTTGGTGCAAACATTAGGATTAACCAAGCACTGAGTACTTGAATAATGCTACTATTTCATAAAAAATATGGGTTACAAGTATCTTCCTGCTGCGAAGTGGATAAGTGGCGAAAGAAAGCCAAATGTACTTATGAAATTCAAAAACACTTTCATTTACTTTAATGACTGGTTCCAACAAGGAAATCTTATGCTGTGCTATAATTCATAAATTTGCTAATCTCTCTTCCACGCTGGGTTCTACATGTTATCTGTTCCTCTTCACTGTTCATTTGTATTTTCCAAGATCAGTGTTATTACCATTAATCTTTATAACTTCATTTGAAATTAAATACTTTAAGAATTTTTGAGTTGTTTTTTGAAACAAAAAGTACATAATTTTTATTAAATTCATAATTTGAATTCAGGGCCTTAAATTCATAATCATTTAAAAAAGCATTTTATTCAATATATTCTTTATCTAAAATTAAAAATATGTCTTTTAAATAGAAAGAAAACAATTATATATATTTTTATCTATAGAGAGAATTAGGTCCACTTATATTTGAGACTTACAACTGCTTACACTACTTATTAATTTGAAAAATCAATGTGTCAAAATAATGCTAAGCTTGCTGCCTTAGCTACTTAACTGTATTTAGAGTTCAAAGGAAAGCTGGGAAAAAATAGGAAATTGTCATTTTTCATGCGATCTTACCAAGTTTTAAGTGGGCTTTTATCTAAAGCTCTATGTTACAAACTGACACATTTTTCGTCTACTAAATTAAAACAATAATTATTTGTTTTTGAAAAGGCAAAATGGCACAAATGTTAAAATTCAGTTAATAAATGCAAAAGCATACAAGAAACAATAAATAATTTAACTCTAAGGCACTGCATCAAAGCTGGAAATCAAATGTCTATGTATAAATCCTTAAAATGGTTATCATCCTACTAGCATACAATAAAGATAATTCTAACTAAATATCTAATAGCAACGGTTTAAAAAAAGAGACAGGATCTTGCATTACCTATTGTGTCGGCTTTGCTAAATCTTCGAGTTACAACATTGTTCATGTTTCCATTTTCACATAGCTTCAATTCTGTGAGATATACTTCTACTTTGCAGTGCTTTACAAACATACCCTGTTCAACCACCTGAAATAATGAAACAAAACAAGTTTATGTCACCTATACCAATATATTTTCATTCTAACAACAATATATTTAGAGAGACTTTAGAAAATTGCAGATATCCAATGAAAAAACAGTCACTAATAAGGCCTGTCAATATATAAAAAAAGACATTGGATAGTTGAAACCTCAAAAGCAAGAAACCTTTTTGGAAATTGTAATATCTAAAAGAAAAAAGAATCATGATTTTAAAATATTAAGTGAAAGTCTGGAAAGGCATTCTACTGATCTATGAAGATACATTGGGTACACCATAAATAATATATTCAGTATTTATAATGGGAAAGTTTTATACATCATAGTACAAATAAATACAGTTCTGATTGAAGATACAAATATACTTTTTAGATTTTAGTAGCGATCCCAAGCAGAAAAACCTTTAAAAAGTTGATTATACAATTTCATTAGATGATCATACTTATCCCTTTTCTAGTTTTGTGTTGGTCATTCCATTTTTCTTTTTCTTCCATAAAAATGAGGCCTGCAGTTTACGTTAGTTTTAGTAACTACTAGTGGTTTGTAGCTACTTTCATGTAGTTCATTTTAGGATTTTACATCAAATTTCATTAGATGAAACTGTATAAACATTACTGTTATGTTAAAATAAATCTATTAAAATAATAACTTCAAATTACTGTTGCCAAAATATTCAGCTATGACTAGGTAACTGATACGTTAGTTTCACCCTACAATGACTTTGACCTTTAACTACATATTTAGTAATTCTATGTAACAATTAAAAGAAAGCTGTTAAACATGCAAGCCATAAAGCATAAAAAGGAAATATGTATACATTAAGGTCACCTTTTAAATAAGTATATTTCCTTTTGATCTTCTAAAGGTTAACTGTAGGATTTCAGTCATGAATACTGTTTCTGAAAATAGTAATAGGCCTGATATGTGATCCATTAGACAAATATGGCAAAAGGGAGGCTCCAAACGACCGTTAGATGTACTCACAAGCTTACATCAATTCAGAAAGAGACTTTACAAACTTATCTTTCACTGCATGGAAAAATTTCAAACGCAGTTCATCTAGTATGTACTTCATGGTTACAAATGTAGTAACATTTAATTTTATACGATTACTTGTAGTTATATTTAAGTAGAGAAACAAGGAATCAAATATTCTTATCAGTCAGTAATTTCTGTACCAGGGCTCAACATTTGAGTAAAATTTTTTAAAAAACTACATTAAAGTGGCTACTAATCACTGGTAGTTACTAAAACTAAGATAAACTGCAGGCCTCATTTTTATGGAAGAAAAAAGAAAAATGGAATGACCAACACAAAGCTGGAAAAGGGATAAGTATGATCAAATAACAATAAAATAAAATAAATCCCTCATTATGATTTATATTGAGGTACATACTTTCTAAATAAGTACAGTTCTTTAAAAATGAAAGTAAATTTTCTTAATACTATAGATATTTTCCTGGAAAGAATCTGGTGATTTAACTGTCAGAGTCATTGTGAGATCTACAGAAACAAAGTATCAAGATTATTTCAAAACCTACACTACTTGGATTCAAAATTTTTCTCATCATTTTTTTCTTCTCCTACATTTTACATTGCTAAAACTTTAATAATCACTACTCAGAATACTACTACTATATTTATACTTATTTTACAATTCTAAAAGTAGTGTATTAACAAGGTGTCCCTTTTGAAAAATATGAGCTTGTTGTCAAACTATTTTATTTGAAAAGGTCATACTATATGTACTACTAAAGCTTGAAAATAACAGCACCATAAAAAGAAAAATAATTAGCACATTTATGAATCAGTGTTATAATGGTCACATGTAGATTATTTGCTTATATAATCTCCTTTATATTTGTTTACATAAAATTTCCTTCCTGCCTTCATTAAAAATATGTGCATTGAAAACGATGGTCATGAAGACTAACAGGAAGAAACAAGCTTATAAAAGTATAGTTTTATTTACCTAATAATTATAACTGTTAAAATATACATTTGAAATAAGATTAGAAGGCAGATATTCAGAAACGACAGTTATGTTTCAGAATTATAGATGATAGTTATAATGTTTACTTTAAGTGAATTATAACACTGTTATATTACCATAAATAAAAAGTGAGTACATGATGAAATCTGGCTGCTTGTCCAAAATTTAAGAGTTACAGATATGTAAAAATATTTTCATTAATTTATAACCATAATGAAGGCAAAGTCTCTTTTAAGTCTCTTTACTAAGTATTTGAGCTAAATATAAGTTTATAAAGGATTACAATAAATAATTTCTATTTGTTCACTTTTTTGCTATGAATATTGAGGGCATTTTTTACAAGGTCATTAAATGTATGAAATAAACCTAATGTAGTCTACTCTTTACATCTGTCTATGTATTAAAAGTTTCACAGAAACTTTGCTTCATTCCAAGAGCCTTCCTCCCTGAAATGGGAAGAAAAAAGTAATTTCTAAAAAAATCTGGTACTGTATAAACAATTTCATAATAACAGGTCTAACAGATTGACTTAGTCTTTTGCAGGCACTAGCTTCATTCATTTTAAAAGCATTTACTGAGTACCTATACTTAGGAGATAAATTAGACCTAGATCCTGGAGTCTGAGCGAGAACAGGTAATGAAGACAGAGAAGTAGATAAATACAACAAAACTATGAAATCATAGTTCTTAATGCATAAGAAACAAATCCTATATATGTGACATTCTATCCACAAACATTTCAGAATATTTTCTTCAGAAACAAGGACTCAAACATAACCACAATACCATCTTATAACCTAAAATACTAACACTAATTAATTAATATCAAATATCCAGTCAATATTCAAATTTTCCCTGCTGTCTCATTTTTAATATACTGTTTGAATCAGGATCCAAGTAAAGTCCATATATTGAAGAATCAGTAGACTGATTCGTCTCTTAAATGTCTTTTAACCTAGAAGTTCTCCATCTTTCCTATTCTTGTAAGTTTTGGTTTAGACCACTTCAAAGATGGTGACGTACACTCAATCTAAACGGATGCAAATATCTAGTTGCTCCTTTTTCGTGTGCTGGTAGATACTAAAGCCAATGCCTACATCCGGTGATTGACAAACTTATGAACTAAGTTAGGCTAAACTTAGGTTTAGATGGCTAAATCTACCTCATCATCTATTTTTTTGTAAATAGTGCTTTACTGGAACACAGCCACAACTCTTCATTTATGTCTATGGCTACTTTCATACCCAATTATTAATTATCTAGGGCTGCTTTTACGCCCAAATCAGCAAGGTTTACTCATTTCAAAAGAGAGTAAGGGCGCATAAAGCTAAAAATATTTACTATCTGGTCCTTTAGAGAAAAACATTAGTGACCTTCTCCTCCTCCTACATCTTCAGCCCCTAGACTTTCAGCCTAGATCCATTAACTCATTAAGTCTTCTTCAGTTTTACCCAGCAATGTTTTACAATTTTCATTATAGAAAAGCACAATTCTTATTAGGTTTATTCCTAAGTATTTTAACCTGTAAATGTTATTTTAAAATTCAACTTTATTAAGAGACAATCTGTTGAAGGGAAGAAAATATTTACAAGCTATTCATCCAACAGAGGACTAATATCCAGAATATACAAGGACTCAACAACTCAACAGGTAAAAACCAATCCCATTTAAAAGTGAGCAAAGGACATGAACAAACATTTCTCAAAAGATGAATGGCCAAATACAGGTATATAAAAATATGCTCAACATCACCAATCATCAGAGATGCGCAAATCAAAACCACAATGAGATTATCCAAGCCATAATGGATATTATTAAAAAGACAAAAGACAACAGATGCTGGAGAAGATGCAGAGAAAAGGGAACACTTACACACCGCTAACGGGAATTTAAACTAGTACAGCCATGACGGAAAACGGTGTGGAGATTTCTCAAAAATCTAAAAATAGAATTACCATTCAATCCAGCCATGCTACTACTGCCTATCTACCCAAAGGAAAAGAAGTCAATATATCAAAGTAATACCTGCACTCACATGTTTATTGTAGCACTATCTACAATAGCAAGATATGGAATCAGCCCAAGTGCTCATCAATGGACAAATGGATAAATATGGTATATATAAACAAGAGAATACTATTCAGCCATTACAAAGATGAAATCATGTTTTTTGCAGCAACATGGATGAAACTGGAGGTCACTATATTAAATGAAATAAGCCAGGGCAAAATGACAAATATCATATGTCCTTATTTATATGTGGAAGCTAAAAAATTTGATCACATGGAAGTAGTGAGTGGAAAGATAGATAACAGAGACTGAGAAGAATGGGGAGGGGAGCAAGAAGGATGAAGGGAACTGGGTTAAAAGTACAAACACACATGTATATGTATCTTATACATACAGTAAGATAGAAGGAATAAATTCAATGTTTGATAGCAGGGCAGGGTGACTATACTTAACAAAAATGTATTGTACTAGGGTGAAGGACACCCTAAATACCCTGACTTGATCACTAGTTATTATACACATGTAACTAATTTTCTCACATACATCATAAATTTGTACAAATAAAAATAAACTTTATTTGTTGCCAATAAAAAACTGGTTTTCCCATACTGCCCTTATATCAGGCAACCTGCTAAATTTACCATTAATTCTAATTGTTTACCAGTACGTTTTTGGAATCTTGAACCTACAGAATCATGCCTTCTAAAAACGCTGACAGTCACGTCTTCTTTTTCAAGGTTCACTCTTTTAGTTCTTTTCACTGTATTACCACACTGGCTAAGATTTCTAACACAGTTATTCTTGATTTGGGAAGAACTTTTAATATTTTACCAATAAGTATGATATTTATAGGAGGTTTCTATTCCTAGTTTTCTATTTTTTTTTTTTAAGATCACACATGGATGTTGAGCATCAAATGTTCTTTCTATATCTGCTTAGATTATTTTTCTTCATTATGCTAAAGTTATGAGTGCTTTTCAAAGTTAACATTGCATTCTTTGAAAAATATCTAACTTGGTCATTTTTGCCCTTTTTACATATTGCTGGATTTGTCCTGCTAACATCGTGTTTAGGACTTAAGTATCTATGTTCATGAGTGAGACCAGCCTGTAATTTTTTTTTCTTGTAATGTCCTTCAGGTTTTATGTCATGTTTATGCTAGCCTTATAAAATAAGTTGGGGGGTACTGCTTCTTCTATTCTTGAAAAGAATTTGTATGGTATTGGTTTATGGCTTCCCTAAATATTCGGTAGAACACACTGGTAAGGCTTTCCTGGCCTGAAGCTTTCTTTGTGGGAAGGTTTCTAATGACTCAATTGCTTTAATCATGTAAGTCAATTTGAGTTTCCTATTTCTTACTGTATTGGCCTTTTAAAGTTTTGTCTAGATATCCACTTCATCTAAATTTTCAAATTACATAAAACTGTTCAGAACATAACCTTTTTAAAAAAAAGCCTCTAGGCTCTGCTATGATGTTTTCTTTTTCATTCATAATATAGATTATTTGTGCCTACTCTCTTTTTATCTTTAATCGATCTTGCCGGGACTCATCTTTCTTTTACTGGTCAAATTTCACTGCTCTGTATAATGAGTGAATTTTGTTCATTTAATGTAGGTTTGTTTTATATTTTATTAATGTCAACTTTATACTGTTTCTTCTTCAGTTTAATTTCCTTTTCTTGTTGAGACAACAGATTTTCACTTTCTTTTCCTATATTTGCACTTAAGCTATCAAATTCCTCTGAGAATGACTTCTGATTCAGCCATTCTTTTAAGTTGTATTTTCATTATTCAGTTTAAAATATGTCTAATTTTCATTCTTTGCCTCAATGATTACTTAGTATATTTTCCCATTTCTAGGTAGTTGGGGGATAATCAAGTTATCTTTTTGTTACTGATTCTAGCTTAGTCCCACTAATGACAGAAAATACACTGAACAATTTCTATCATTTGAAGTTTACTGGAATTTTGACAGCCCAGTATATGGTTATTTTGCTTAAAAATTCCACTTAATAGAAATGTGTATTCTGCAATGACTAAGTACAATGCACATGTCAATTAGGTTATGATGGTTAATCACATTGTTCAAATCTTAATTACAAGTCACTCATGTAGCTGTTGGCAGCCTCTGTTCCTCGTTATGTGAGTCTCTCTATAGGGTAAGTTAAGGGCAAAGTTATGACTTCGCCCAAAGTGAGTGATCTGAGGGGAGAGGATGAGGGAGGTACAGCATGTGTATGTGCACTCCCAAAAGAAGTACTGGTATAGTTTAAGGACTAATTTCAGAAGTGACATACCACCACTTCTTCCATATGCTACTGACTGAACAGACCAATTGTAGTACAATGTGGGAAAGGATTACACAAGAGTATAAATTCTAGGAAGTCACAATCACTGGGGAGCATCTTTGAGGTTAGCTACCATAGTCTACCTCCTGGGCCCCAGTGATTCTCCTTTCCCCTAAAATGTAAAGTACATTCCTCCAAAGTCCCGGACTAGTCTCAATTCATTTTAGCAACCTGGAGTTCAGAAATGTGTCATCTCTAATTGACAAATTATAAATTTTCTGTAAGCCTTTGAAAACCTCCAAGACCCCTAGTGGATGCCTGAAACCACAAATAGCACACTAATCCCTATATTAACTATGTTTTTTCCTTTGCAAACATACATATCTATGACAAAGTTTAATTTATTAATTACGCTCAGCAAAAGATTAACAACTACTACTAAAATAGAATAATTATAGCAATATACTATAATAAAAGTTATGTGTGCATGGTCTCTCAAGGTAGCTTCTCATACTGTACTCACCCTTTTTCTTATAGTGATATGAGTGAGATGATAAAATGTCTACGTAATGAGAAGAGGTGAAGTGAATGACGAACACTGTAACACTGTATTATGCTACTAATCACCTTTGACAAAGCACTGTGACAGTAGACCAATAACCAAGATGGCTACTAAGTGACAAATGAGAAGGTAGTGTATAGTGTCCATGGGGAGGACACAGAGTGGGATGGCATCATGTTACTCAGAATGGTGCACACTTTAAAACTCAGGAATTGTTTATTTCCACAATTTCCCACTTTATATTTTTGGACCATTGTTGCCTGCAGGTAACTGAAATCATGGAAAGCAAAATCACACAGGGAGACTACTCTAGTGCCTCTTGATCTATAGGTTTGTGAACTAAGAGATAAGTTTTCTGCCCCCCATACACCCAAAATAAAACGATGAAGCACACAGAACATAACCTTTTAAATATTCCTGTTTTATAAGCAGGGAAAACAGGAGGTAAAAGGAATCAGTGGTCCACAGCAATTATGAAATCTACCTGGAAAAATTCTAGAAATTCCTTGACTGCAACTCAGTTCTACCCTTGCCTGAAAATTATTATTTCTAACATTTGGCTCTGTTCTCTGGGTCCTTTTTTCATGATTAGCACATGCTTGCAGTTAAGTAAATTTCCAGCCTGATTCCTACTTATTACAGTTTGGGAGGTCAAAGGCTCCTTTCAATTAATACTGTCTCTGCAGTCCAAGATGGCAGTGGTTCTGTGAGGTAATTCAAAAACAATGCAGGTCTCCACTGGATCTTACTGGAGTTCACTCCATTAGGCAAAAGCCATACCCACAAATGCTCTCTAGGATAAATCCTCTCTACTTTGGCTTTATGCTGAGAAAGCTAAGAGATTGCACTTAAGCTTCTTGAAGCCCTCCTGTTCTTAGAAGCCACATATTGAAATGATAACCTTAATATTCATTAGTATTACTACTGAGAAGACAACGTCTAAGCTAACCCTTAAATTCTTTACAGGGCCTCTCTCTGAATAGTACTGTGAAGCATGACCTCTGATTGTTCTGAGGTAACTTTACAGTCAATCCTTGACTGCAATATTAGATCATACTTTTTTCTGAGAATGCTCTGAGTTTCATCTTTGTTCAGAAACGCTTCTTAGTATTAGCATCGTTTGCCATCTGGAGGGACTGGGAATCTTCAAGAAAACTAGTAAATATTGGCTGTTTTATTGAACAATCCTTTCTTTAGTGTATTTCTCATCTCTCACATTTGACTATAAGCAGCACAAAAAGAAACTAGGCAGTACTTTTAACACTTTGGCAGACCTCCAATTTCATTAAATACTATTTTTAACCTTTCAGTTTACTGCAGGCAACATGTTGCTAAACTTACTCTGCCACTGTATAACAAAGCCCAGTTTCTACCAGTTTCCAGTAAGAATTTCCTCAGTTTCCTTTAAGTTCTCACTGACAGCTATCTCAAAGTCTAGTAATCCACTAACAGTTTAAGGCCTTTTAATCTTTCATTGACACTCTTAAAGTTCTGACAACTTCTATTCACTGTCAGCTCCATGTTTTCATATCAGCACCTATTTACAGGTACCAAGATCAGTACTAACTATCTATTGCTGCATAGTAAATTACCCCAAAATTTACCAGCTTAACACAGCAAACATTATCTCACAATGTTTCTGAGGGTCAAGAATCTGGGAGCAGCTTAGCTGGGTTGACTTGGTGTAGAGTTTCTCGTGAGGTTGCTGTCAAGGTATAGCTGGGGTTTCAATCATCTGAAAGCTAAACTAGAACTAAAGGATCCACTTCCAAAGTCACTCACATGGTTGTTGCAGGCCTCCGTTCCTCTCTATTGGCCAGAGATCTCAGTTCCTCACCATGTGGGCCTCTCCATAGGCTGCCTGAGTGTCCTCGCCAAATGCAGTTGAATTCCCCGAGTGAGAAATGAGAAAGAGAGACAGCTAGAGTGCGTGTGCACCCAAGATGTAAGCCGCAGTGTTTTTTATAACCTAATCTTGAAAGTGATGTACCATGAGTACTGAGTATGCTATTGGCCACACAGACCAACCTCAGTACAACATGGAAGAGAGTGCCCAAGAACATGGATATGAGGAGTTGGGTATCACTAGGGAACATGGTGGAGAGTATTATCTTAACTTACATGCTAACATTATTATGCAGTTTTATTCACATTTTCAACTCCATAAAAGTTATTATTAATGTTTTCAACAGTCCATCTTAAGATTTACTCACAACATTTACATTTTGTCTACATTTTTTCCTGCATCTCCAAGCTCTCATCTGGAATATTTTCCAACCATTCTTAAGATTATTTCGTATTGCCTTCAGTACAAATCTGCTGGTAACAAATTCAATTCGTTTTTATTTGAAAATGGCTTTTTTCACCTTCCTCCCTGAAGGATTATTTTCTTAGTCACAAAATCCGATATTGGTAGTTATTTTCTTTTAACTAGTAGTTGGTAGTTTCTTTTATAGTAGTTGGTATTTTAACTAGTAGTTGATAGTTTATTTTCTTTTAACTAGTAGTAATTGGTAATTATTTTCTTTTAACAAAGATAGTTCATTGCTTTTTGGCTTCCATGGTTTCTCTTGAGAAATCATTACTTTGCCTTATCTTTATTTTGAAGATACTTTTCCTTTGGCTATTGTTAGAAATATCTTTTTGCCTTTGCTTTTCAACATTTCTATTGGGTACAGTTTGTATTATTTCAGTTTGAGATTCATAGCATTTCTTTAGCATTCATAATCTAAAGCAGGACACCTTTCTCAGCTTGGGAAAATTCTCAGCTATTACCTCCTTAAGTAGTAGTTCTACCCATTTCTTCTTTCCTCTCCAAGATTCCAACTGTATGCATGCATGTTAAACTTATTTACTGCATTCCATTTATGCCTTAGCTTTTTTCTATATTTCCCATTATTTCGTCTAAGCTTTAGACTCTATATTTTCTACTGATAAATCATTTAGTCAAAAGTTTCTGTCTTCAGTTCTGTTTGGTCTAATATTATTCCCAAACATTAAATTTTCATAGTATTAGTTTTAGAATTCTATTTGCTTCTTAATAGTTTTACCTTACTTCTCAACTGTCTTACTTCTTTTATTCTTGAGCATAATAAGCTCAGTTTTCTAAAATCTAATAACTCAATTACCTGAATTTCTTATGGGTCTGTTTTTATTATCTACTGTTTCTCTTGGATTTTAATTCCATTCTATTTTCTGCTTATATCCCTGCTTTCTTTTCATCCATTCTTTGGTTGATGCTATAAATGAAGCATTTTAGAGATCTCTGAGGTACAGGAAGATGTTTAACTACATTATAGCTAGCGGAACCACCAATTCTAGATTCTTTAATGCAATCGGAGATGGGTAACATTCAAAGTTGGGCTTCAGACACTATAAGCTGGTCTATTTACTTCTTTGAGTTCCACCTGCATCAGTCATGTGGGGCACAGTGAAAATGCAAATGAAATTCCCAAATTTAAGTGCGAGTAACTAATTTTACTGCAGATTTAATACTGTAGGAAATTGCATCTGTAAGAAGAACTCTGGCAATGTAATGTAGCACATGGACATTTGAAAACTATTTTACAGGTTGGATACATTTCATTCAATTTATTAAAAATAAGCATGTGGTCTCCTAAGAGATTTGTCAAATTTTTTTTCTAGTTGTGTAAAATTTTTTTATTGTATTTTACTTTATTAGACAGTGAGGTTCCAAGAACTCTCAATGAAGGCTATTTCAAAAAGAAACAGCAATGAAGTTGGCAGTTGATCTGTTTACCATACTGAAGACTGCTAGTGCTCAATGTGCTACATTTACAAGAAAAAAAGTGTATCATTAAGACTAAAGGGATACAGTTTAATACATTTAAAGACATTTTGAACACAAATTTTCCTTTATCCTAGGAATGAAATAATTCTAGATAGCATCCTTTCATCAAAACACTCAATTCTCCCCCAACTATAGATAAAGCAACTAAATCATTCTATGGAACTATATAGAACTAAGTCATTTTATAGAACTAGCATTCCTACAAGAGAGGAATTCCAATTTTGAAATGGCTGAAACTAAGGAACAAAACTAAACAAAAACAAACAAAACGTACATTCAAGATCTACTCATAAGATCCAAGGTTAGCTTCTAATATACCTAAAACCATAGATACACAAATACAAATTGTTAATATGGCAATTCTACAGCATCAACTTCAAATAAATTCAAATACAGTTTGGTCTACAAGAGGTTTTTTTACTCTTATGTTACCTAATCCAACTTTTTAATTGTTTCTATGGGAGGGGGGACCCAAACCAGATAAAAAATCATGCCAAGAGACTTTGGTACCTTCTCAGCTTCCCACCTTTCCCACAATCAATGATCAAATAAATACATGTGGAAAGTCGGCTGATTTACCTTGAACATTTGGTATTCTTCCATAGTAACACCCTAACTTACCACTTTTTAGTTCCCTAAGATAAAGAAAAATTGGTTATTCTTAATGCTTCTAGGCTATAATTTTAAAATGGTAAAGGATATGAAAAAAAAATCTATATTTTCAAGTCTAAAAAATTTTCACGTTACAAAAAACATTTCTTCAACTTTTAGTTTCTTCATTCTTTTCTAATTGTTTTATCAAAACAAACAATGGAGCACAGAAAATGGGGTCAGGTTGCCTAAGTATGTGTCCCAATATGACCTTCTAAAAGAAATTAACCTTAATTTTTTATCCTCATTTTCTGATCTGTAAAATGGGGATAATCCTACTTACCTTATAGAGTTTTCTCTCTATATATAGAGAATTAATCAATGACATACTTACAATAGTGGCTAGCATAAGTAAACCCTCTTAACATGTTACCTGCCATTATTATAACAGTGTATAGTAACTTTGCTAGCCTTTTTCTCTAAGATAAGTGACAAAACTTCACAATTCATTGAGTTAATAAAATATGAACTAATCAAGAAAAATATTTATAGTAAGTTATTATTAAAATGTACCTTTCGTGCTATTGGCTCTTGACCTTCCATCAATGTATACCAGCTGACAAGTTTATTCCAGCCTTCAGTTGGCAACAGTATGTAATCCAATTCGTCAATAAGATGTTCCTTAAGTGACTGGGCATCACCATCTGCAAAAGGAAAAGTAAACTCAATACATAAAAAGAAACAATAGTGCCTAACTCTAAATACTTTGGTTGTACACATTATGAATTAAACTCATGAAGGCTAATTTAAGAATTTAAAACAAGTTTTAAGCTCTATAGTAATTCAGATACCTTATATAAGCGGTGTCTAATCTTTTGTCTTCCCTAGGCCATATTGGAAGAACTGTCTTGGGCCACACATAAAATACATAAATACCAACAGTAGCTGATGAGCTTAAACAAGAAATCGTAAAAAAAAAAAGTCTCATGATGTTTTAGGAAAGTTTACAAATTGGTGTTTGTCTGCATTCAAAGCCATCCTGGGCTGCATTGCATTCCATGGGCTGTGGGCTGGATAAGCTTGCCTTACAGATTTCAAAACCAACTATTCCTTTAAAACTTTTAATTTGTACCATAAATCAAAAGCAATATTTAAAAACATAATTCTTTTATTAGGTTCTTAAAAAAATACTATGGAGTAATTGTTAGTCAAGAGACTTGGAAAAAGAGTATTTCCCAAATATTTTGAGTAGCAGAGATCCCTCACATGGTAACAATGGTCATTCTAGCATCAGCCTCGGCAGGAAATTCAGAAGCAAATCAACAACCTTCTACAATGACACCAAGACACATGGGCTTCTAGGAACCGTGATGAAAATAAAAAATGGACATCTTGTGAACCATTTCATTATTCCAGAAAGCCCATAATCCGGATTCCTCCAAGATCCAAAATGGATGCAGTTCTTCAGATGTGGTTCTAATTCACAATCCACTTTCCAATTTCTAGTTAGACTAAAAAAATTTAGTATAAGACAGGCCAGAGATCTAGAAGAAATTTCTGGAACCATACCTATATCACAGTCCTAACCTGAGACTTGCTATCTGTCCTTCTGAATTTTTAAAATGCAGAAAGAGAAACAGAAGTAGCTCACTGAGCTATATCCAACTTTACGGAGATTTTTCTTGTTCTGAGTTAGTTTTAATTAACAGATACAGAAAGCAAAATTGTTCTTGGTAGCATTTCAATAATGAGAACATGCTATTCCTAACAGGATATAACAGTATAAATCAAGAAGCAGGAAAAAACCTGAGGGATTAAGAGAATGTTACATATTCTGTGTTTTGCAACTGCAGTCCACTTTGCATTTTCTAGAATTGTACATGAAAACAGTACCTGCTTTCTGTTACTACAGACAAATTGGCAATTTCTAGAGTCTTACATAAAAACAGTATGTCCTATTTTTTGTTTGGCTTCATTCATGCCATGTAAATACTTTAAGATCTATCCATGTTTTTACATACCAATAGTTAATCTCTTTTAACTGCTGAGTGGGATTTCATTATATGGACATATACCTTATTTATCCATTCAGTTGTTGATGGGCATTTGCGTTGTTCACAATTTTTTCTATTACAAATAACACTGTATGACCATTTGTATACAACTGGTCATATGGATAAATGCTTTCATTTATTTTGGGTAAATACCAAGGATTGGAATGACTGGGTTCTATAATAAATGTATGTCTAACTTTTTAAGAAACTGTCAGACTGTTTGTTTTCTGAAGTGATTTTACTATATGATGTTGACAGAAACACTGTATGATCGTTCTACTTCCTCTACATTCTTGCCAACACTTGGTATGTGTCAGTGTTCTCATTGTGGTTTTAATCTCATTTCTCTAATATGAATTATGTTGGGCATTTCTGCACGTGCTTTTTGAAACCTACATCTTCTTTTGTGTTCAAACCTTTTGCCTACTTTTTCCATTGGGCTTTATGTTTTCTTCAAAGTGACTTTTATAAACTATATATCCTATATACAAGCCTTTTATCAGCTACATGATTGTAAACATTTCTCTCACACTGTGGCTTCTCTTTTCTTTCACTTGAGAGTGTCATTTAAAGAAGCTTTTGTTACTGATGAGATACAATTTATCACATTTTTTCTTTTATCAACCTTGCTTTTGAATCATATCTAAGAAAATTTTGTCTAATACAATATCACAAAGATTTTTTCCAAAAAGTTTTAGTTTTTACATTTAGGTCTATAATCCATTTTGGATTAATATTGTATAAAGTGCCATGTATGGATCAAAGTTCAGTTTTTTGCAAACAGATATCCAAATGCTCAAGCAGCATTTGTTTAAAATACTATCTTTTGCTAGTGAATTCCTCTTTTACATTTTTCTAAACTTAAATGACTATATATGTGTAGATCTATTTCTGCATTCTCTAATCTGATCAATTGATGTATCTGTCTTTATGTCAATATCCAACTGTATTTATTATTACAGCTTTAAAATAAGGACTGAAATCAAATAGTGTTAAGTTCTATTAGTTTATTTTAAAATTCAAAGTTGTTTTGGCCATTCTGTCATTTGAATTTCCACATGAATTTTTGAATCAGCTTGTCCATTTTCATTAAAAAGCCTACAGGACAACTCAATATCCACATGCCAAAAGATGAAGTTAGAATATTACCTCACACCATATACAAAATTAACTTAAAGTAGACCAATGGTGTGAATGTAATAGCCCAAACTATAAAACTCTTAGAAGAAAATGTAAGTATAAATCTGTGCAACCCTGGTTTCAGCAATGCTTTCTGACACCAAAAGCACAAGCAACAAAGAAAAAAAATGGTAAATTGGGCTTAAAAAGGTCACCATCAAGAAAATAAAAAGTTCACAGAATAAGAGAAAATTTTTGCCATTCACACATCTGATAAGGATCTAGTATCCTAAATAAATAACAAACTGAAAACACAACAACAAAAAAAGACAAACAACTCCACTTAAAAATGGGCATAGATATTTCACCAAAGATATATAACAAGGACAAAAAAAAGATACTTATCATTAATCACTAGAGAAATGCAAGTCAAAAATCACAATGAGATACCACCACTTCACACCCAAGAGGGCGGCTATAATAAAAAGGACAAACAATAACAAGTGTGGGCTATAATGTGGAGCAGTGAATCCTCATATACTGCCAGCAACAATGTAAAATGATGCAACAACTTTGGAAAAACAGTCTTATAGCTCCTAAAATAGTTAAACAATGAAGTTTAAAAAGACCCAACAATTTCATGTCTAGGTATCTACCCATGAGAAAGGAAAATATACATCTACCCAGAAACTTGTATGTGAATGTTCATAGCAACAATATTCTTAATAGCCAAAAAGAGAAAACAACTCAAATGTCTATCAACTGATGAGTGCATAGAGTAAATGTGCTATCTGTTCAGTATAAATCATTCATCCATAAAAAGGAATCAAGTACTGATTCATGCAACAACATGAATGAAACATGAAAAAAGAAAAAGAAAAAGAAGACAAATATAAAAGAACACATATTGGGCTGGGCTCAGTGGCTCACACTTATAGTCCCAGTACTTTGGGAGGCCAAAGTGGGTGGATTGTCTGAGGTCAGGAATTCGAGACCAGCCTGGCCAACATGGTGGAACCTCATCTCTACTAAAAATACAAAAATTAGCCAGTTGTGGTGGCACATGCCTGTAAACCCAGCTACTTGGGAGACTGAGGTAGGTGACTTGCTTGAACCTGGGATGTGGAAGCTGCAGTGAGCTGGGATTGCGCCACTGCACTCCAGCCTGGGTGACAGAACGAGGATCCATCTCAAAAAAAAAAAAAAAAAAAAAGCACACACACTTTATGATTCCATTTATATGAAATGTCTAGAATAAGCAAATTCATACAGACGAAGGAGATTAGTAGTTGTCTAGGGCTGGGGTGGCAGCAGAGAAGGGATAGGGTGTGATTCCTAATGGGTAAAAGAAACGTTTTATAAAATTCAATTAGGCCAAGATGATTAACAATGTTGTTCAATTCTTCAGGCTTCATGAATGTAAATATCTATTGCCCTTCCCAGTTTTAGGAACTTTCAGCCATTATTGCATTATTTCTTTTTTTGTTTTTAAGACAGGGTCTTATTCTGTCATTCATGCTGGAGTAGAGTGGTGCGATCTCAGCTCACTGCAACCTTCATCTCCTGGGCTGAAGCAATCTTCCCACCTCAGCCTCCCGTGCAGCTGGGACTACAGGCACATGCCACGACGTACAGATTATTATTATCACTACTATTTTGGAGACAAAGTCTTGCTCTGTCACCAGGCTGGAGTACAGTGGCATGATCTCTGCTCACTGCAACCTCTGCCTCCTGGGTTCAAGTGATTCTCCTGCCTCAGCTTCCCGAGTAGCTGAGACTACAGGCACGCGTCACCATACCCAGCTAATTTTTTCTATTTTTAGGAGAGATGGGGTTTTACCATGTTAGCCAGGATGGTCTTGATCTCTTGACCTCATGATTCACCCACCTCAGCCTCCCAAAGTGTTGGGATTACAGGCATGAGCCACCGCGCCTGGCCGGATTTTTAAAAAAAATTCTTGTAGAGACAGGGTTTTGCATGTTGCCCAGGCTAGTCTCAAACTCCTGTGTTTAAGTGATCCACCCACCTTGGCCTCCCACAGTGCTGGGGTTATAGGCGTGAGCCACTATGCCTGGCCTGAGCCATTATGTCATTAAATATGCTTTCTGCCCTCTCACTTTCCTCCTTTTGGAAATCTTACATGCACAAATTGGTTCATTTGATTGTGTTCCATAAGCTACTTAGACTTACTTTACTTTTCATTATTTTTATTCTTCTTATTGGATAATTTCAAATGATCAGTCTTCAAGTTTGCCAATTCATCTATTTGATCAAGTTTGTTGCTGAAGACCTCTAGCGAATTTTTCAGCTATTGTATTCCAAAATTTGTTTGGTTCTTCTTAATTTTTAGCTCCTGGTTGATATTTTCATTTTTCTGGTTTTGTT